GATCCCCACGAGCTCATTCTCCTCCGTGCCTCAGCAGCGGAGGGTCCTGAACCGCGGGAAGCAGATGGCTGCCCCTCTTTCCTCGAAAAGAGAGACAAACGAGAGCTTCGTGCTCTTTTTGCTCGCAGTGCACGCCGATTGCCCCCTCGGAGACATCACGTGTGTGCTCTTTGCCCAAACAAAACAACGCATAGATCGTGTGTGTCATCAGATGTTAAACAACGTCAACACGGATGCACACATCCTTAAATGCTTTGCTAGTGCTCGCCATAATGAGATAAATAGAGATCGCTCTTACCACAGAAATGCACGCTTCAAACAAAACAGTCAATGAAGACGAAGAAGAGAATGATGTGTAGCTCCCGGCGCCTATTTATACTATAATCGCACCGGTAGTGACGTCATGGCTGTCGCCGGCCAACGAGTTGGTGTTTTTTCAATGTATGCTTCAGACACGGGTCACGACGAGGCATTCCCCATAGCGAACCCTAGAGGACGCAGTTCGAAGTTCCCATGAAAGGGAACAGTCTATTCTTCATGGTGTATGTTTATGTAAATAGGTTTGTATTTCTAATACCATCATATTTCATCCTCTAATCTGATTTAATTCTCTTTGCAGCTCCATTGACTCTAGATCCAAACACAGCACATCCTCGGCTCACACTCTCTTCTGATTTGACCAGTGTGTCGGACAGCGATTTACGTCAAAATCATCCTGCTAATCCAGAGAGGTTTGACAAGTATCTATGTGTTCTGGGTTCTGAGGGCTTTAACTCAGGAACACACTGCTGGGATGTGGAGGTTGGAGACAATACTAACTGGAGTGTTGGAATAACCACAGCATCAAACCAAAGGAAGGGAGCGGTTTTCTTTAAGTCTAATGTCTGGCTTATGCGGTATATGAACAGCAAATACAGCTCACAATCCCCAGCGCAACCTTTGACTCTCTTCACAGTTAAAGAGAAGCTGCAGCATGTGAGAGTTCAGCTGGACTGTGACGGAGGAAATGTGTCCTTCTCTGATCCTCTAACTAACATCTGTCTCTGCTCATTCACATCAACCTTCACAGAGACTGTCTTTCCATTCTTATATAATCGCTGCACAACATCCCCTCTGAGGATCTTACCAGTTAAACTGATCGTAACAACAGAAAATCACAGTTAAATCTCATTCTGCTTTTAGATCAATTAAGGTACAAGAATTTGTTGTTTTCATTGTTTTGCATTTTATGGTTATTATGGTAACTAATGGATATTAAACAGCACATATCTGAATATATATGAAATTATATTTTTAGGCAAAAATACCCAAACAAACAGAAGTAGCAATAGATAATTTTTTTCCTTCAGTATATTGACCTGCCCTGCGCTACATTTTTTCATTGTATTATCAAAAAAGAAAAAATGTAAGGCAGGTCTTGGTTCTATTCAGCTGTTGTTGACTGGATTTTGATTGATTTTTGGATTTGATTGATTGTGATTGGTGTTACACTCAAATATGAATGTGATTGTAGCGTAGGGGAGACAACTGAGTAGAGGATCCAAACAGAATCAGATCACAAGCCCGGCTCCAACACACCTGCCTGTAATGTTCCAGTAAAGCTGAATGTCTAGAGTAGATTCAACTGTTTGATTACAGGAGTTGAACTCTGCACTAGACCTCCAGAACCTCAGGCAAAGACACTCTGTGTGTGTTACAGACTACAATGTGTAACATTATTGCATTTTAATAATTGCATTACTTTCACAGTAATTTCACAGCGGGACTTCTCTTGTATCAAACTGCACTCTCAGAAATATTCTTCTAAACAAACAGCATCATACTGTGTTTCTACAGTGCATATAAAGCTTGTGTTGTTTATTTTGTAATGTTGTAAGTGTTGTTTTTATTTGTTGTGTTTTGTATATCGAGACATTTTAAAGACGCATCTCAGCAGTTGCTTCACTATTGTGTAAAGTCCATCCACAAACAATTATGAATATAAAATAAGTTGTTGATTAATCTTCATGCTTAAAAAATGCTAAAATTAAATTTCATATACATGCTAAGAATAGTTTGAATATCTTAAAGTCAGGTAATTAGCTTATTCATATTCTAGCTTGTCATCATTTTGACATGTTTTTATTTGTCATTTCTGATATGACTAGATCAGAAAATTGAATATGAATTTACAAGGTCCAAGATCCCAAACAAATGGGATCACCAATCACCGGGATGGTGACTTCAAAATAATTACAGTAGTGAACAAGTAGATTTCTGACAGTGGCACTGTTAAAGACAACTTTATAATGAGAGTTCACAGTAAAACAAGAGCAGTAAGTTACTGTGCTGTTAGCATCATTCTGCTGTTCATTCACAGTTATTTGTAAGAAAATGACCCAGCATGCATCGATTTCACAGTACATTTCTGACTACGATTTTTAGTACAATCTTTACAGTGTATGCGTTTCTTTCCATGACAGTTGAGCAAAAAAAAAAAAAGACTTTTTAAAGTTACTTAAACTTAAAGTTTGCGGTTGGTGGTCAGTTTGTGTCAATGTACTTTTTTGACATTTCTTTTTCCACTTTTGATGCCATTTCAAGTGAGAAATTAATATGGTAGTAATTAAGCATTTGCTTAGTAATCACCAAAGCTCTATTTTGTTGTAGATCATTAAACCTTTATGCTGCCTTTATGCAGTTTGTCTGAAATCATGTGAGGTACTTTTGTGTGCAAACGTTGCTCGCAGAATCATTACCTGATAGGACAGTTAGCTTTTAGACACAGCCAGTATTTCCTAACACTGTTCCTGGAGCAACACATCTTAGAACATTTACTAATCAAACTCATATAGACCTAAACATTCCCTATATTCATCAATATTGCTGAATTTTGGCCAGAAATTGTGCATCGGTGTGCTTTGGGTACCAAAAATATCAAAATCTAACACTGGTGGAAGGATGAGTGCAGGTCAGCGCAGGTATGATTCCCATAATGCATAGCTTTTTGGAATTCGTTATTATTAGATTGAATGGAAAGAGGTCTGGAGTTAACCTAGTCTCAACAATAAAGTTAAAGAAGTTACTTGTAAAGTCATTCATTTGATTTACCCAGTGAGATTAGTAGTCAGAAAAGGTTTTAGCGGTATGGAGACTACATGCTTCTTTTGTAACTTAAAGGAAGAATCCATAAAACATTTATTTTATGAATATGTATCTACCCAAATGTTTTGGATTGATATTGAATATCTAATATTTCAATTTACAAATTAAAGATTTGACTCTCTGGTAAAGATATAGTTTTGATGTATAAAAATAAGAGTTTGGAGCAAAGTTAGGTAATTATTCAAGAATTATGCATGGGAAAAACCATATATACAAACAAAAATGGAGTAATAATAAACCTAACATTACGTTATTTAAAATTGAACTTAAGCATTACATTGAAGCCTTAAAAGATCTAAGAAATAAAAAAGCAAAATGGGTGTGTAGAATTTTTGAATGCTTTTCTTTTGGAAATTTCTTGTTACCCGCTGTACTTGATATGTTTGACAGGAAAAACATCTCAGTACATGAAATTCTTGAACCATGTTGGGTAGTTTTTACCGTCCGGATAATAAAAAGTAATGTATTTCACTCATATAAACACAGAGCTCCTATTTATGTTTCCCGCCGCCGCCCACAGTCTTCTTCTTCTACGTTAGTTCTTCCTTTCGCACAGCGCCCTCTAGAGGAGCTATGGATCAATGAGCGTACTGCAGGCCTTCTGAGGCGCAAAATAAATTATAATTATATTATATTATTATATTATAATAATTATAATGAGCACATCCCAAGACAAAACAGCTTTTAGCTGAAATATGGATCTTTCAAATAGTGAGAACCACTTCATAATGTCTTGACACCTACAAATCAAAATATTTATTAAAGAAAATTAAACAAATATTAAATTCATGGTTAAAGAGAGATCTGTCACTAAAAGGAAGAATGTTATTATCCAGAACTGAAGGGTTGTGACGTTTAGTGTATACAGCTCTTGCATTAGACGTTCCACAATCGGTTATAACAGAGCTGGATACTTTTTTGTTCAATTTCATCTGGAAGAACAGACCACATTACATAAAAAACAGTCTTGTCTTTTTCCATCTGAAGATGGTGCTCTTAATGTACTTGACTTTAATTCTGCTAATTGTGTATTTAAGGAAAAAAATGGATAAAGAACTACCTGCAGTCTAAAGGCAAACTTTGGAAAATCATTCCTGAGTTAATTTTTGATACGTTGGGTATACGTAGTATATTTTACGTTTAAAAATAAGTCCTTGTTTTTTAGAAACTCATTAATTCATTCATTCATAAGATCCCTGTAACCGCCAAAGTGTTTACAGTAGTATTTGATGCCATTCCTAATGGCCTTATTCAACTTGTCCGGCAATATATCTTCTGAGTCTATACCCTTCAGTTAAGTATTAAAGGTATGAAAATTATAGATAATAAATATATTTTATATTAAACAATTACATAGAACCACATTACTGCCATTACACGGCACATTACCTACGCCACTGTCACAATTAAAAGTCCAAATAAACTGCTGCATCTCGGATGCATTCTGCTGTAAAACCCAACGAAGAACTCAAGCAATAAATTTGTCAATCTTTATTTTTTTTATGATATGTTCAATTATGATTACATTAACAAAAGGGGTCTTAAAATACACTGACAATACCCTGTTGTTGTTGTTTTTAAAAGCCAGTGTTGCATTTGAATCAGTTCTGCACACAAGAGTCAATGTTAAAAATAACAGATTTATCGATTGATTTATAAATCTATTGGCTGTAACTCCCTTCCCCGAGTGTTTCATTTAAACTGTTTCTGGTAGAATATTAGAAACATAAAACTAGATTGTTGTTGTTGTTGTTTAATTATTGTGCTGCTGTGCTTCTTGCTATTAAAAAATACATTCACATGCTGAAAAAAACAACAATAGAAACCATCACAGAAATTCTAATGGTTTCCACTACAAATACCATTACAAACATTACAAACCATCATGAGGAGCTATGGATCAATGAGCGTACTGCAGGCCTTCTGAGGCGCAAAATAAATTATAATTATATTATATTATTATATTATAATAATTATAATGAGCACATCCCAAGACAAAACAGCTTTTAGCTGAATTATGGGTCTTTCAAATAGTGAGAACCACTTCATATGTCTTAATACC